TCTCGGTTTATGAGCACATACTCTGTGCATTCATCCAAACATTTCCTAAAATCCATTGGTTTTCGTGCTTGTTTATTAAGCGTGGCTGTGAAATAAGCCACCATGCGCCCAAAGAAAGTGCCTAGTAAAGTTCCTTTGGCAAAGAAAGTGAAAACACGATGGAATTTAAGAATAAGTTATTGAAAAATAGAGTGGTGTGCGGGTGCTGGAACCTTGCCAGGATGTATTAGAAATCCAAATCAACAATCACTTCCTCCTGGCAAAGAAAGAAACAAATCAAGGAAGCTGATTGGTGAAAGGGGTAAACATGTTAAAAAAAAGAGATGACGAACAATGGAAGATGTGGAGAAGTTGTTTGTGGATCAGCAAAAAACAGTTAGCAGGAGATAGTGTTTCAAAAGAAAAATCATTTGTGAAAAGGCAAGGCAGTTGCATGCAGATCTCATAAAGAAAATGCCTAGAAACTAGTGCTGATGTTAGGAAATTTTAAAGGGCCCGCAGAGGGTGGTTTGACAGATTTAAGAAGCTAGTGGCATACAGTGTTGTAAGGCATGGTGAGGGTGCAAGTACAAACGAACATGCAGCTGAAAATTTGTGCAGGAATTCAAGGGGTATGTAGAGACTGAAGAATTCCCCCCAAACAAGTGTTCATTGTGATGCAACAGGCCTCTTATGGAAAAAAATGCCAAAGAGGGCCCACGTCACACAGGAGAAAAAGGCACTTCTAGGACACAAGCCTATGAAGGATAGGCTAAAATCTTTTGTTCTGTGCTAACGCTAGTGGGGATTTCAAAGTGAAGCCTTTACTGGTGTATCACTCTGAAAATCCCAGAGTGTTCAAGAAAAACAATGTCATCAAGAGTAAATTGTGTGTGATGTGGAGGGCTAACAATAAGGCATAGGTCACAAGGCAAATTTTCATTGACTGGGTCTATGAAGTGTTTGGCCAAATGTGAAAAAATACCGACAGACAATAAAAATTTCCACAAGTGCCTCCTGGTAATGGACAGTGCTCGTGCTCATCCCCCCAACTTGGTAGACCAAATTTTCTAGGGATTTCAGTTTTATAACAGTGAAGTTCTTGCCTCCTAACACCACTCCTTTCATCCAGCCCAAAGGACCAGCAGGTCATTTCTAACTTCAAAAAGTCTACACAAAAGCATTGTTTCAAAGGTTCTTTGAAGTGACCTCGGACACTGAATTTACCCTAAGAGAGTTCTGGAGGTATTTAATTCAGTATCTACAGCTGCATAAGCCTTGTAGGTAAGGCTTGGCAGGGAGTGACTTCTAGGACTTTGAACACCCTTTGGGGAAAGTTGTGGCCAGAATGTGTCCTCAAAAAGGATTTTTAAGGGTTTGAGGCTGACCCTGATGACCCTATGCCTGTTGTTGGAATCTATTGTGTCTTTGGGGAAGTCCATGGGGTTGGATGTGAGTGGTGAGGATGTGCAAAAAGTTGGTGAAGGACCACAGGGAAGAGCTAACCATTGAAGAGCTGCAGCACCTTTCAACTGGAACAGCAACAGACCACAGCTGAGGAACTTTCTTCAGAGGAGGGAGAGAAGTGCCTTCTTCAGAGATTAAGGAGATTTGTGCAGTGTGGGGTAGGGTGCAAGCTTTTGCTGGGAAATATCACCCTGACCAACTGAAACAAACCATATCTACAACTGGGTTTAGTGACAAAATCTTGGCCCGCTTCAGGCAAATCTTAGAGACACCAGAAAAAAGACCTCTCTGGACATTCTTTGTACAACAGGGGTCCAGGACTCTCGAGCTGGTCCTAGTGCTATTAAAAGAGGACTTGATTCCTGAAATCATTATGGAGGGGGATTCCCCTTCCAAACAATAACCCCCCCTCCTTCCCTGTCTTCCATACGCCAACAAGAGTCTTCAATATAGGTATGTAATAATGATTTAAATGTTCATTTATATGTAATTGTCCCTTGTTTTGTGTACTAAAACTATAGTTAATCTATACAGAATGCTTTTTTTTTTTTTATTTTTGGGTGTCTGGAACAGATTAATTGTATTTACATTTAAATTTTCAGGGGAAATATTGCTTCGAATTTAAACCGACCTTCTGGAATGGATTACAGCCGATATTCGGGGTTCCACTGTATATCATGTCCACAACCATAAAGTAGAAATAAATTAATATTAGTTTTTAATTTATATTCATGTTTTTTAGATTCTTAAAACTGTCATATGTGTAAATTAACCAAGGATTTAACCTAATAGCCAAACACTAGGTACCATAAAAGATGAGATTTGAGATTTTTTAACCCGGGGAGGGTTAGCCACCCAGGCTAACCCAAGAAAGTCAGTGCAGTGGCATCGCTAGGGTTGGTGTCACCCGGGGCAGAATCTTTGGTGTCACCCCCCATGAAATGGGGGGAGTAAACTCCAGTTACATCATTACTGCATAACCAGTGACTAATGTTTAGCAATAAGAACGTTTAAGGGCCATAAACCAAACAGGAGAATACTTTTCAACTTTATTAATGATAAAATAAATAATTCTAGTAATGTTGAGGAAACATAAACTCAGATACCACTTTGAGTACAGGCAACAGATCCAACATTTATTCATCTTCAACAAGGCCCAAAAAATAAAAAATGAAAAATAAAGGAAAACATTGCAATATCAGAGAAATACTTGTTCTGATTTAACCTTGAGTACGGGTAACATCTCAGTGAATCTGATCTTACATTTCCTTGCCTTCAATTTTGCAAAATTCTATGATATCATCAGAATCAATGATTTTCGCTATATAGGCCTATTTGTACTCCATAATCATATAATGAGCTATATAGAAATGAACGATTTTTCTCTTATGTTGCTGCAGCTCTGTTTTGTGCATTAGTCACCTTTAGAGGCTCTATGGTGTCACCCCTAAATGGTGTCATCCGGGCCCCTACCTTACGACGCCACTGAGTCAGTGTGTCATTGCGGACTGTATGTCATATTACAATTGTGGTCCTTTAATCTTGTCCTCCAGGATGTGATTCACACTAGTCAGCTGACACCCTGGGATCTACTTACTGCAAGGCGAATCAGGGACACAAGGTGTAAGGTGACTAACATCCAGGTACCTACTTATTGCTACGTGAACAGGGATGTCAGGTGTAAGGTGATTAGCATCTGGGTATCTACTTATTGCTAGGTGAACGGATAGCAGGTGTAAGGAAACGCCCAACTTTTCCACCCATCTTACCTGGAGTTTACCTGGAGAGAGTTCCGGGGTCAACGCCCCCGCGGCCCGGTCTGTGACCAGGCCTCCTGGTGGATCAGAGCCTGATCAACCAGGCTGTTGGCTGCACGCAAACCAACGTACGAGCCACAGCCCGGCTGGTCAGGAACCGACTTTAGGTGCTTGTCCAGTGTCAGCTTGAAGACTGCCAGGGGTCTGTTGGTAATCCCCCTTATGTATGCTGGGAGGCAGTTGAACAGTCTCGAGCCCTTGACACTTATTGTATGGTCTCTTAACGTGCTAGTGACAACCCCCGCTTTTCATTGGGGGGATGTTTTCATCATCTGCCAAGTCTTTTGCTTTCGTAGTGAGTGATTTTCGGGGTGCAAGTTCGGTACTAGTCCCTCTAGGGTTTTCCAGGTGTAATAATCATGTATCTCTCCCGCCTGCATTCCCGGGAATACAGTTTTAGGGAAACCCCAAGCGCTCCCAGTAATTTTAGGTGTTTTATCTCCGTTATGCGCAGCCGTGAAGGTTCTCTGTACATTTTCTAGGTCAGCAATTTCAACCCGCCTTGAAAGGTGCTGTTAGTGTGCAGCAATATTCCAGCCTAGATAGAACAAGTGACCCGAAGAGTGTTCATCATGGGCTTGGGCCTCCCTAGTTTTGAAGGTTCTCATTATCCATCCTGTCATTTTTCTAAGAGATGCGATTGATACAAGTTATGGTCCTTGAAGGTGGATCCTCCGACATGATCACTCCCAGGTCTTTGACGTTGGGTTTTTGCTCTATTTTGTGGCCAGAATTTGTTTTGTACTCTTATGAAGATTTAATTTCCTCGTGTTACCATATCTGAGTAATTGAAATTTCTCATCGTTGAACTTCATATTGTTTTCTGCAGCCCACTGAAAGTTCGGTTGATGTCCGCCTGGAGCCTTGCAGTGTCTGCAATGGAAGACACTGTCATGCAGATCGGGGGTCATCTGCCCAAAAGGAAGACACGGGGCTGTGGCTGACATCCTTGTTATGTCGGATATGAGGATGAGGAACAAGAATGGGGCAAATACTGTGCCTTGTGGAACAGAGCTTTTCACCGTAAGCTGCCTCGGACTTTACTCTGTTGACGACTAACTCTCTGTGTTCTGTTAGTGGGAAATTATAGATCCATCGACCGACTTTTCCTGTTTTTTCCTTTAGCACGCATTTTGTGCGCTATTACGCCATGGTCCCCACTTGTCGAAGGCTTTTGCAAAGTCTGTATATATTACATCTGCATTCTTTTTGTCTTCTAGTGCATTTAGGACCTTGTCGTAGTGATCCAGTAGTTGAGACAGACAGGAGCGACCTGTTCTAAACCCATGTTGCCCTGGGTTGTGTAACTGATGGGTTTCTAGATGGGTGGTGATCTTGCTTCTTAGGACCCTTTCAAAAATTTTTATGATATGGGATGTTAGTGCTATCGGTCTGTAGTTCTTTGCTGTTGCTTTACTACCCCCTTTGTGGAGTGGGGCTATGCCTGTTGTTTTCCCATGTGGGGCATTGAACCATGGACACTCATTGTGTGAGGCGAGTGCGTTACCAACCAAGCCACTGTATAGGATTTTAATAATTTCTTGGTTGCATTCAGCTCTTGTAGCATATTGAAGAGTTTTGTTTTCAATTACTGTTTTATTGCAAAGAATAAATAATGACTAGAATAATAATTCTGCCTGTCAGTTACAAATATGAGCAGCATCTATTAAAGGAATTAGTAATAGAAGTACATATAATTAATAGAAGTATAATTAATATTTCCATCTATTCTTTTAGTGTGAGCAATGCTAGGTGATGGTAAAGAAGAGAAACACTCACCATTGGACATCAGCACTTAGGACTTCAGAGCACATCAGTACCTGGCAGACAGGAGCACAGTGCACACTGGCACCAACAAATTCTTCATAAGATGCAAAGCTACAAGGAAAAGTGTCGATCATTTAGGACAGATATTAACCCACATTATAAAACCAAACACATGCATTACTGATACTTTACTAAATATTTAATGCAAATGATGTTGCCTAATAAAAACAAAGAAATAATCATAATAGATTATTATCAGTAATTATTATTATATCCATTGAAAAAGTGCTAAACCTGTATGGGTCGTACAGTGCCAAAAAAAAGAAGGCAGGGAAGAAGTGTATGAAGGTAAGGTATATGTGAAAAGGGTGAATCAAAGTTGGTGTGGTTGTACTAGAAATGTGTGTAGAAAGCTAAAGAATCTTAATGTATAATTTTGGCTTATAAAGCAGTTTTGTAGAGGAAGTGAGGTTTATCTTGCTGGCAAAAAATCACTCAGGCATTAATGTTTATTATTTTGCCACAATTCAGTGAAAGAATTAAAAGTGAACCCTTCATTTAACAGACCTAAATTTAACGAATCTCCATTTAGTGGACTTTGGAAATATGGGACAAAATCCCCTGGGTCAGTAGATTTGGAAATGATGGATAAAGTCCTTTGGTCACAGTGTATATTATTGTCACATGGCAAAACAAACTTCTCTATCATTTTATAATGGTGACCTTAATATATAGTGTATGGAGATGAGAAACTGTGTGTAAGCGAGTGACCAAGTAATGTATATCATCTTGTAATGACTATTTCAGGTGTAAATACAAGCTCTGATTTCCTAGTGACAGAGAAAGTACCATTTTTCCTGCGGTTATGAAGCCAGTGTTTTGTGTGGTAGGGAATACTCAGTATGTGGTATATAACATGTCTTAAACCAGCATTTGTGTGTGGTAGAGAACATATCCTACATCAGCACTTTTGTGTGGTAGGTAACCATTGCTACACTAGCACTTGTGTGGTATGAAACTTTTGGTACACCAGCACATGTGTGTGGTAGAGAATACTTCCTACACCAGCACTTGTGTGTGGTAAGGAACACTTTCTACACTAGCACTTGTGTGTGGTAAGGAAATCACTTTCTACAATAATTGTTGTGGTAAGGAAATTTCTACATAAAGTTGTATGTGTGTAGGTATATCTTTACTATGCCAGCACTTGTACTATCAAGATATATCCTTTATACGCTCAATATATTTACTATGTATTGTTAGTAAATATATATGCATAAAAGTTAAAATAGTGTGTACTTATATGTATTATTAATTATGTATGTATGTATATATTATATATTATATAATTTATATATATATATATATATAATATATATATATATATATATAATATATATATATTATATATATATATATATATATTATATATTTATATATATAAAATTTTTATGTACAATATGTTGGTATATTTAACCTAAAGTAAATAAGTATTTATACTCCATTTTTTAAGAGCTGTCATTCTGGTGAAATTATCAGGGGATATTAGAGATGTATTTTCCTGATCCGTCCCATCGTTAAAGCTTTTCCTTAAATGAAAGCAATACAGTGTGAAAGTTTTGTGCCCAGTTCTTCCAAGAAAGTATCTGCATTTATTAACTAATATGTCATTTATGTTCTGGGTCTCGCTACAAAAATATTTACACGATCTTGTCATTGTCATTAGTTGGTAAACATGTGAAGCAGTCTTATTTTTTGCATCAGATCACATTTTAAAGATTTACACATAAAATGCAGCAGCATAAGACAGCCTCAACAAATACAGCTAATGGTATGTTTTATTTTGTCTGGTAAAATACAGGTACTGTACTTTGAAATATTGCAGTCTTAAAATGTTTCATATTAAATTAAAAGTGTGGACATAATATAGGAATATTCACATGTACTTTATATAAAGTTACTATTGCTGTATTTTAATGATGACTTCTACAGAACTGTTGCTGAACATATTAAAAATAATACTGTATGAGTAAATTACTATATTTTCCAGGATATAAGGAGCTCCTCAATTTGGCAGGCATATTTTGGGTAAAATGAAAATAATGCAGTACGTATGTACTGCTTAGAGCTAGTGGTAGGCTGCTCATTTGCACAGTGTAGCTGAATGAGATGAAACCTTATGCAGCCTGTCACCTGCTCCACTGTTGCCAGCTACCAGAACAAACAAGACTGTTGTTTTACAAATGGCTACCTTACAATTATTTATAACTGCTGATGCTGGTTCACCTATTACATATTGGTAATAAGTAAATTAATGTAGGTAGTAGGTTGGTAGACAGCAACCGCCCAGGAGGTACTACCGTCCTGCCAAGTGAGTGTAAAACGAAAGCCTGTAATTGTTTTACATGATGGTAGGATTGCTGGTGTCTTTTGTCTGTCTCATAAATATGCAAGATTACAGGTAAGTCTTGCTACTTCTACTTACACTTAGGTCACACTAAACATACATGTACAAGCATATATATACACACCCCTCTGGGTTTTCTTCTATTTTCTTTCTAATTCTTGTTCTTGTTTATTTCCTCTTATCTCCATGGGGAAGTGGAACAGAATTCTTCCTCTGTAAGCCATGCGTGTCATAAGAGGCGACTAAAATGCCGGGAGCAAGGGGCTAGTAACCCCTTCTCCTGTATATATTACTAAATTTAAAAGGAGAAACTTCAGTTTTTTCTTTTGGGCCACCCCACCTCAGTGGGATACGGCTGGTACGTTGAAAGAAGAAAGAAGATGTAAATTATAATATGTAATAGTTACTAATCGCCAAAGTTATCTAGGGAAACAGTTTTGTAAGGTGGGTGTGTGGGGTTCAGTTTATTGGTACCACAGCACTGAAATCGCCATTTGCCACTAATCTGCTTAGCCTGCCCTTGTTCCTGATCCTAAGCAAATATAGCACAGGCTGATTTTTCTTTGAGTTTTTTTGAAGGGGGAAGGAACTGCACCTTATATGCTGGAAAATACAATAATATTTTTTGGCATGAGCACAAAGTGCAGTTTTTTAATCTCGGTCACTCGCATATATTGTCCAGTACTGTATGTATAGTACTTACAAATGGCAGCTACCATATACTCGTATATTTATAAGAAACCGAAGTTGTGTTGTGGCAGTCAGATGAGAGCTTTCAAGATACAGTTGAATCCCCAAGTTCAAGAGGGTTATGTTCCTGGAAATCTTGTGAATCTGGAATTTTTAAATATGTACTGTAATACAGAATTCTTTATGGTTTAATATTTATTTTAAATTTGAGGCTATTTTGTTTTCAGGGGTCATATATTTAAATGTTGCTCTTTTCTATATGTAAGTGGCATTCATAAAACAGATAAATGCCAGATGAAGAGATTTGGGTGTGAGACAAATAATGAGTACCTATAGAATGAAAATGGTTATCAATTTAGGTGTTGTGCACCAAGCCATAACAAATTGATACAGGAGGCCCTCCACATTCGCGAGGGTTAGAGGACCAAGAACCTCACAAATCTTGAAAATTCACAAATGTTTGGTGTGCAGATATGATGATACTGTACTGTAGCATTCGTGAATGTTTTGATGCATAAATATATTGTAGGGAAATATAACAAGAGCATTTATTTAGCCTAACAATACTGCTTCCTTAACCTATTGAACCACAATCATAAAACACATGAAAACATCGTAAAATATTGTATATACATGTTATGGTTTAACCCTTAAACTGTCCAAACGTAGATCTACGTTTTTCAACATTTGAAAGTATGTAAAAAAAAGTAATCGTTTTTTTTTTTTTTTTTTTTTTTTTACATTTGAAAACGTGTAAAAAACTTTGATCTACTTTCTTTTTTTTTGTTATATTTGAAAATATGTAAAAAACGTAGATCTACTTTTGGAGCACTACGCATGTGAATATAGATCTGCTTGGACAGTTTAAGGGTTAATAACAAATAATGAATAAATAAAACACTCACCACTCGTAAGGTTAGGTAGACGAACTCTGACGACTTGTGATGATGATGATAGCCATGCAGTTACTAATAACAGTTGAATGGAGGTGATTATATGGAGTGTAACTGCATGGCATGATGAGTCTAGTGTGTGGATTCTAACTCTTCATTGCCAGCATCACTGCCGAACATCGCTAGAGTCAGAGTTAGCAACAGAGTCAGACTCTGCCATGGATTGGGGTTCAGGTGAGGCAGTAGGGGTAGTGGCAGGCTTCCTTGTGAAGAACATTGTGATAGGCAACTGAGGCTGTTTCCTCTTCATAACTACAAACAGAGTTTTGTAGGGAATTATGCTCCTATCAGTGTTGCTCATCACCTTCAAAGCCCTTAACATCGATGGGTCTTCGTCATGAAAAAATTGTTTGAGCTGTATTGGGCATTTGTGAATGTTCGAAGCTCACAAAAGTGGAACTCGTGAAAGTGGAGGGCTAGCTGTATAGTGTAGAAACTCACAAAGGGTCAAGGCTGTTCACTAGATATTCTTTAGTAAAACTTTGTATAATTGAATTTCATGGATTCAAAAGCTTGCAAATTTCAGGGTTTGTTCACTTGCATTAACAAAAAATTGCATTCATTGCAAATTCCATTTTCTAGAAATGTGTAGGATCCTTATTGTGTGATTAGTATGTAAGCTTATCTGTCCAAAATATGCCCTAGAAATATAATGTTTTTGGAGATCTGAGCCCATTTCCAAAGAATTTTTGCATGAAATGAGGGAACTGCATGAATGTGATTATTAATGTAGCTGCCTTTTTTTCGCAGTTTACTGGAGAATATGGCATTAGTAGCAAAGTCAAAGGCCATTAATATGTTAGTCATCCTTGTGCCATATTATAAGAAATTAAAAATACTGTATAAGTTACAAGTAAAGCACAAAAAAGTGTTTTGACAGAGTTGTGGTACTGGGTTGCACATGTAAATGTTACTAAAGAAATATAATTAAAAAAAAATCACTAATCTTTAGCATTAATGCATAATATTATTGGAATTGAGCAATTTGCTACCCAATGCTACAAAATATTATTGTGGACCTGAAATGTAAAGTCTTCATTATTGCATTTATCAATTATATTTGATATTGTCTATTTCTTAGGTTAGGTTGATGGACAAACTGATTTTAAGTACAGTATAAGGAAATAGTTACTGTCCTTTAATAACAGTAAATAATGTAACAGGTCAAGGCATCAATTAATACTAGTGTTCATTTTTTCAATAATATTACTGTTTCTTTACTTCACTGTGCAAAAAAAAATTAATTTATTAATGTGTATTTTATAGTTAAAATTAATGCGTGGATAAGTATGTTAAAGTTTACTAATAATTTGCTCTTAGACATTGCCTTCAAGTCAAGAACAGTACCAGACAGCTCATCCAGGAGTTGAAAATATTAAGAATAGTTTCTGCTGTCTGCTTAATAGATGGAAGTTTATTTTATGACAGTTAAAATAAAGGTTAGCAAATGGTTTTGATTGGTGTCCTTGTCAGAGGTGCTTAATGGTAGTGCAATTTTTGTTATTACTCACACTTGTTGAAGGTTTCAACATTGCACAGCTTTGTTTATTTTTTGCCTATAATGTGATGCACATTCTCCTCTCCACTGACTAATTTACAAAAAGCTTATATTTATATAACAATATGTGTTAGACTCATGTGAAAATTGTGTTGAATTTTAATTTACTTCTGTTCTAAAGATTTTGTGTATCAGAGCAATGTATGACAAATATCATGTTACACAGTACTGTATCATGTGTGGAAGTTAAATTTAATCTGCCTATGGGTTCTTAAACTAAACATGCTTTAAGCTTACAAAGGAAAAAATCTTTCAATATACATACAGTTCAAGTGTTTTCATTGTACTTCAGAGTAACATGGGAGGGGATTATTACTATTATATTCATGGGGAAGAAGTAAACTTGTAGAGGTTATGTAGCACCTTGGACAATTGAAGGTAATCAGGTTAGATTGAAGGAAAGTAAGGGTACCTGAAATTACTTGGATCAAGAACCCTTCAATATCAAGGCAACCCTCTTGAAGGATACCTTGGGGAGGAGTACCCAGTCCCAAACGATTCCTTTATAC